AAATATGTCTAATCTGTATACATTTTAAAGACGAACTAAAATATGCCAACTTTTCTCTGCAGTTCCACTTTTATTTTTACCATTGGCAAGTTTCTCCTTAAAATGTCATTAGGAAAGAACTACCATCCCTGCCTCAAAATTAGACAAGATATAATGCTATATTGTAATATGTACTAAACATCCCTTCTTTCTACAACTATGTTAGATGTGTTGGATAACTGGGAAACATTTTTGGAATGATAAAATACAAATAATTTCCTCATAATCATGAGCATTTCTAAATTATATACACTTACTTACATGAAAAAAGGTTTACTATGAAAAATCTAGTCATAAAATTAGGACTTAATATGAAATGTACAATAATTTTTTCCATTATATAAAAGAATATCATGAACATACATTTAAAAGAGTAAAATATGGACATGATGTATTCATTTACAAAGGTAATCCTCAACTACTAGAGAGATAAAGAAAAAGAATCCTTGTTGACATCAACATAGGTTATTGTCAGCTTATCCCAATTTATTTCTTACATTAGGAATTTCATGTCTACCAATGAATCTACTGATGTTCAAACTAGTTTACAACAATAAATTCTCCTCTGAACTATGCAGTTCTATAAAATAATAATGTTTAATCACCTTATGATTGTAATGTCATCTGCACTGCTTGAAGTCATCATACAAACAAAATACTTTACATTGAAATCAACATTGCCATATATAAAAGCAAACCCAGATCATAAACATTATTCCAAGACAAGACATCTGTAAAATCTATAGACAAGCAGCACTACAATCACATCTGCTATTTCCTTCTCCGATTTCTATAATGACAAAAATGAACATCACAAAGCATCGAGTGCAATGCCCATCTTCTGCCAAACATATCCAAAAACACTGTTCTATATTCTGTCAGCTAAAATATTGGGAGAACAGTGAAATGTGGGAAATATTTTTCTCAATAGATTAAACACAAATAATTAGGATAACATCAAAACCTAATAGGTTATATTCCATTTTCTAGTCTGACTTAAAAAAAAAAAAAAAGTATTTTCAAACCTATATTGTCTTATCAGTTCATCAAATCAATCATCAATATGATATTAATTACAAACATTAAAATCACCAATTTTATGAAAAAAATGAGGCTTTAGTGACAAAAATAAATAGGGTATAATAATAGAATGTCTTTCATCCATTTTTGTTACTGTTATTATTATAATAATTATTATTATCATTACTACATACAGCTATATTTTTCTTCTTTTTTTTGGGGGGGGGGGGGAGGCAATGAAGTTAATGCATTCTAAGGGAATTCATGTCAAAATGAATGAAAACTCCTTAAAAAAAATGGGTCAGCCCCTCAAATTCAGGTTTGGCATGTTAAAGGAAACCAAGTTTTTTTTCACTTGTCCTTCTTATCATTATTTTATACATTTTAGTTCATTGTAAGTTAACAATCAAACATTATTAGGTATGAATAATATTAACACCAATTTCCTGTATTGACTAATATATTGATTATACTGATAAATAATATCAAAATCGATAATAATGAAAAAAAAAAAAATGATGGGTGTTGGTGATGACAATAATAACAATAATAATTGAGATGATAATAAAGACCAGTAAAAATCAAGGAACCAGCAAAATTCTTAGGCAGTGCACCTATCCCTCTATTGCAGCATATATTTTACATAAAAAACAGCTGATCAAATTTTTTTATTTATTAAGCAAATGTCCCATTTTGGTAATGTTGGAAGAACATGAACATTTTTTTCACACCCATATCATCATTATTTTATTAATTTCAGTTGAAAATAAATCAATAATCAAACATAATCATATATGAATAATGTTACCATCAAGTAACTATAATGATTAATTCATATATAATATATAAACAGCAATTGGTGATTGGTGATGGATGATAAAGGCCAATAAAAAAATGGCAATAAAAAAAATAATGATCATGATAATAAAACTAATAATGCTAATAATAGTAATATTAATTATTATTAATGATAACAATAATATTATTATCATTATCATTAATAATATTAGCAATATTAATAATAATAATATAATCAATAATGAATAATAATAATGATAATAATAAAAACATTATAATAATAATTATTATTATAAAACAATAATAATTAATAATAATAAATAACAATAAAAATAAACACTAAAAATAGTAGAAACAAAAAAATGCTTGGTAGTGCACCTGTATACCCATTTAGGAATCAAGAGCAAATAAACATATATATTACAGACAAATATATTATTTTCATTACACTAAAAAGCTGGAGATCAGGAAATCTTATTTAGCGGCTATCCAAGTTTAGAAATTAAGTTGCTAAAGGCTTCTACGATTTTCAAGATTTTTAAGTTTTAATAAATTAATGGAGCAGGCCATTGCTTCAATTACATCTATAAATATAATGTGATATAGATGAGGAAATTTGCAGTTTTGATTTTAATTCAAAAGAAAAAGAATTTCAAGTTTGTTTCTGTCACTTTGATTATTTAGCTCCTTGGTTAATTGCATCTATGTAGGGCACAAAAACAATGTAATACATATTCATTATCTGAGAGGAGATACATAAAGAATATTGTACTGGAAATTATAGTTCATGCTGCTAAATAATGGATCTAGTCACTTGGGCCTCCCTTAAGAAACAAAATGAAACTGAACTGATCTTTTGATGACCTTTGACAAAAGACATCTAGAACTATGTTAAACTCATCAAAATCTGTTGTACTTGGAGAGAGAGTGAGAAAGAAAAGGGAGAAAAGGTGGATGGAGGCAGAGAAGGAAGGAAGGAAATAAGGATGGAACAGAAAATCGATCCATCAATTGCCATATGCCTCTTCAACAACTTAGTGTAGGATCGCCGTATCTTTCTTCTGCTGTTCTTAGATGATGCTCATTAATGCCCTGATTTATCTACAACCCTGCTATTTTTAATAATTGTATTTTCCATGATAGTAACAATGCTTCTCTGCAGTATTTAGTATCTTCATTTGTAATCAGCCAATTTTTCCTTTGCTGTGATTAGGAAATGACAGACTGTTCTTTCCTACAATAAGATACACTGCAGGGTAAATGTAAAACAGGCACACAGCAGTTAAAGGGTTAAGGAGAAGAATGAAACAATTCAGGATATAAAAAGAGGGAAACAAAAACCAAAATGGAAAGGAGAGAGAGAAAAAAATATATATCTATACTGTAACCGCACAAAGGTTTTGCTTTGACTTTAAATAAGCAAGGAAAGAGGTAAACAAGAAATCAGATCTAAAATGGATGTAATAAAGTATACAACAATATTGTTTTAGGAAATCTAATTTCTACTTATCAATATGATGACAATAAGCATATAATGTTCAATGCTACAACTATATTGAAAATATATAAAAATGTGTTTCTGAGTAAAGATTAAAAGGAATTCATATACAATTGTTTTAGAAATCTTAAGTTGTTCAAACTTTCCCATTTTCTTTTGCAATCACACACCAAAGCCATGTAAGAACATCTAAAATGGTTTCACAAATTACAAATTAACTCACGGTGAGGTATTCTGAGGCTTCAGTTTCATACAATCTTTTATATGTGGCTGTACTTAATACATGAAATTAAAAGTTTTTCTTATGGTTACAGCACCATAAGTCAGCAACCAAACCAAAACTCATTTCTTACTAAAGTGAATTACCATTTGCCCATTTGTGTTTTTTCAAAATCATTATGTAAAGCACCTTATTAAATATTTGTCAGAATTACTTCAATGTGAACTTCTACATCAAGAAGGATTCTAGGAAGCATTATTAAAAATTTTGGCAATAATTTTCTACTTGCTAGTTTTTTTGTTTTTTAACCAAATCCATTTTGGTGTAAAAATTTTATTAATGGATATCAACACTATTTTCTTTTGCCTAAGGAGATTCTCTATAACACCATGAAACTATAAATTTTGTTGAAAGAGAAAATGGTATGAAACAGCTCTTACTACTGATAGCATTTAACTCAAATGCTATGAGTGCACCACTGTCTATGTATCATCTAATACTGTATATTTTAACTGAGAATATAACACACATTATAAATGCAGTCTTCCACTTATATTCTTCATAATTACAGTACGGACAGTGTGTGGACAAAATGCCCATCACTTGAAACACCAGTTGCATATTTGCCATAACAACCATTATAGCACAAAGAGAACCATTTTGACATACCACTTGTAACCAGTAAGAATGTGACATCATTAATAGCTCAAATTCTAACACTTTACAGAGAGGATTGAAAATAATTCTCCCTAACACCTCATAAAATAGCTAAATACCCATAACATTATGTCTGATGATTAAATTGAATCCCAACATAGTATGTCAAATATAGACATTTTTTTACAGTTGAGTATACATAAACTGTTTCTTTAACAGTAGCTACTATGATAACATTATTAGCATCAAGCATGCTACATCTACATGTAAGGTACAAAAATATTATAAAATGGAGCATAAGCAAACTGCCATTTCATGCCTCCCTTACAAACCAAATTAGCATTTTCCTGAATTCTTGTAGTTTTCCATTAAAGGTCTTCTCTTTCCTAAATGAACACATTTGTTTCTGTGATAGGACTTACATCAGGCAGAGTAAGGCATTCATGTTCACAACTTGTAACCTTATGAGTTCTTTTAAATCTATGTCAAGTCTTTCTTTTGCTTCAGTTTAGTATATCTTTACTTCAGTAACTATTTTTCCAAGTGGGCATACTGTTAACAAATAAAATCTCCAAAAACTTATACTGTGTAGTTTTGATGCCAACCCCATGGGGGATATTCTTCATGTAAAAGACTACTTCCTCTTACTCAATTCATACCCACAATGTATGTGACACAATCAATCTACTAGTCATATAACACTTTTCCCACCATAAGAAGAGAACTTTCTCCTACACTTTTTTCATTAGGAAAAAATATTAGTCACCTTCAGACTTTCAAACTAAAATGCAGAGGTTCATAGTACTTTAAATCAATTTATATGATATTCTTCTAAATATAATCCTCCTCAAGTTTGGCCCTGTCATCCATGACTAGTGTGTTGTACTATTGGTTATTTTCTCTTTTGTCTCAGGCACTGTAAATTGTTAAAATATTGCGTGGCTTTAAAGCTGACTCCACACACCTATGTTGTACAAAGGGTGCACCAACTCTGTGGAACAAAAGAAAAAAATTATAACCATGAATTATCCCTCACATTAAAAATAAAAAGATAAAAAAAAATATTATAATAAAAAAAATAATGAAGAGATTAGACATGAGAGAAGAGGGAGTATAAGGAATTTCTTCCTATGTCTGCCAAATTCCCTCTCTACTCCCCTCCCTGCGTTAATTTACGGAGTTTGGAAAGTCCTTCCTACAAGGCCCTTCCTTACCAATCAAATTATTTAACATCAAATACACAAAGATAAATCTACAATACACATGAAAAATATAAAAGTCAGAAGTAATGATTATACAGAAGTGTACAAAACATGAAGAATTATGAAATTTCTATCTGATTGCATAGTAATATTAAATAATAGAAGCTTGGAATTTCTGTTGTGACAAACATTTAGCCATTTCAATACCCAATAAAATCTGAGGCACTAAACATATTCATCACATGGATATCAGAAGTAATCCTATCACCTACTTGCTATCATTTACTCCTTAACAGGTAAGAAAGTTTAAAGCTATGTGCACAAGTGAATTGGGATAGAAAGAAGACACTGTAATATAGCAAAGGCAAAATTACCAGACGATAAGATGTTTTTGCCCGGGTAACATTCAAACCCAATTAAGACAAGACAATATTGGGCATAATACACTGATTTTTTTTAATTATGCCATCCCCTCCTCTCTCCCTTCTTTCTCTCTCTTCTCTTCCCTTTTCTCCCTTCTCTCTCCCTCTCCTTCTAGCAAATTCTATAAAAAATAACAGTTACTTGTCTATATCTACGTATGCCTGTGTGCTTGCTGAGTTGCTGTCATTATTTCCTGTTGTCAATAATCATTCCACTATCAATGTATACAATGAATATTATCCATGTCTAACACACTAACATTACCCCAACTGTCCCTTTTGTCTATCTCATGAAGCAAGCCATTGCTCCTAAACTACCCCTGTTTTAGTTTTTTATTTTTTTTTTATTTTCATATTTTTATGGCTCAATGGCACAGATCACCCTACACGCATGCATACACATGTCACACACATACTTTTGCTCCTGAGCTTTGCATTATATACATATCTTTGTTCAAGTTGATCGAAAAACACCTCAGTCCTTCTCCTGCTTCCCTAACCAATGGTCCCAGCCATCATGTGTTGGTGGCTGTTACCTGCTCAGATTATCATTTTCATAAAACTTTAAATAGTATCTTACCAGTTCTTAGTTAATGCAATGACCAACAACACATTTTTTGTGTATTGTAGCCGTGGAGAAATGTTTTGTTGTACTGACATTCCAATTAAAGTAGCATGTGTGAATAAAATCAGTATCCCTCCAGAGAGTGCGTAACAGTATTTGGAGTTTAATAAGATCAAATTTTTCTATATAAAACAAATTAATTCTTTAACTTCTCACTCAGGTGAGAAAGAGAGAGGGAAAGGATGGAGAGGAGGAGGAGGAGGAAGGAGGAGGAGGAGGAGGAGGAGGAGAAGAGAAGAGAAAGAAGCGAAGAAGAAAGAAAGAAGAAGAAGAAGAAAAGAAGAAGAAGAAGAAGAAGAAGAAGAATTAAGAAGAAGAAGAAGAGAAGAAGAGAAGAAGAGGAGAATGGAGGAGAGTGGGGAAAGAGGTGTGGGGAGATAGATAGGAAGAAGGGAGGAAGAAGAGGAGGAGAGAGAGGGAGGGTAATAGGGCAATGATTGGGAGAGAGATGAGAGGAGGCGAGTAAGGTATTGAGAGGAGGAGGTAAGAGGTGGGTGAGGAGGGGGAAGAAGGCAGAAGTGGGAGCCGCAGCAGAGCAGAGTTAGGAAAGATGGTATGGAAGGAGGGGATGAAGAGGAGAGAAGAGGAGAAGGAGGAGGAGGAGAGGAGGCAAGAGGAGGAGGAGGATAGCGAGGCCGGAGAGCGAGAGGAGCCCCCGGAGAAGGAGGAGGAGAAGGAGGAGAGGATGGATCCGAGAAGGAAGGAGGAGGAAAAAAAGAAGAAGAGAGGAGAGAAAGGAGAGGAGAGGAGGAGGGAGAAGTGTGGAGGAGGAAGAAGAAGAAGCAAGAGAAGGAAGGAAGAGAAGTAAGAAGGTAGGAGAAGGAAGGAGGAGGAGAAAAAGAAGATGATGGGGCAAGAGATGGAGAAGAAGAAGCAAAATAGAAAGGAAAAGAAGAAGCAAAAGAGGAAGAAGAAGAAGGAAAAGCAAAAGAAGAAGGAGAAGAAGGAAAAGAAAAGGAAGAAGGAGAAGAAGAAGCAAAAGAAAAAGAAGAAAAAGCAGCAAAAGAGGAAGAAGAGGA